CGTTGTCATTCCTCAAAGATCTCCAAGTGCTGCTACATTACACTCTCAATACAAACCATTCAATCAATTTTGAAAAACTTTGCAATGAAATTACTTCAAGGAATATCACTTTCTTCACTAACAAATGACATTTCCTCATCAATTGATTCCGAGCCCACAAATTTATTCCTTGTTGGCTAAAAAGTTTACTTATCTCTACTTTTATCCCCATTAAATAAGTAATTGAGTAAAAATCAGTAAGAATTGGATAAAAAGTTATAAATATTTAAAAATAAAAATCAATATCCAACAGAAAAAAACCAATTTGGCTAAAAATTACATGAAAAAATCATATATAAACTTATAGCCTATCTTGAAACAATGGAGAACTAGATATCCAAAAATTGAGACTATCTCAAAAATTGAGGCCTGTATCGGCAATGCATGGTATTCCGACGTCTTTGAAACAAACATGGAGTAGAGATAATGAGATACACTTAGAGAGCGAATAAGGGGATGGATATCTAGCTTTGGGTTTTAACCTTTTTGTTTTTGGCTTGGGCTATCGTTAATATGTACACGGGTTGTTGTTAATTTTGAGATGGGCTAACTAAAAAAAAAATTAACAAAAAGAAAGGCAACAAATGGACCTTCGTCGTGGTTGGCATATGCAGCCTGGACCTAGATCCGCCATTGAAAGTAGTGGGGGTAGTGGGAAGGGAAATTATAAAAAATCAGGCATTTAATTTTTTCAAATTCAAAATTCGGGTGTGAATTTTATTTAATCAAAAATCAGGTATTGAATTAATAATTAAATATTATACCCTCCTACCTAATCCCAAACAAACCCTAAATCATTTTTCTCTATCCTCATTCCTCATCCTCATCATATTCTCTCTCTCTCTCTCTACCCTCACCCTTAGCCGTCGTTGCAGACGAAGTGCCCGCCGCATCGTCGCCATCAGTATCACTACTACAAGCAGCTTGGTCACTAATGTAATGACTCAAGCTCACAACCAGGTTGAGGCAAACCCGATTTCCGTGGGTATAAGTTCGGGGTCGGGTTCTGTAATGAACTCTAACGATTCTGTTCTTCCAGAGACATGGATTGTAATCTCTGTTGGTGTGATTCATGGATTTGTTAATTGAGTTCTTGGTGTGGTGGATTTGTGGTTGTGATGTGTGAATTTGTGTGATTCGTGGTGGCAGGGGCGGATTGGAAATTTTTTTTTGTGGGGTTGGTGGTTGCGGCGTGGTGTGGTGTGATGGAGATGGTGGTGNGAGTCGGCAGCGGCTCCGCTGCTGTGTTTTCCCCTCACAGCTGGCGTTGTGAGAGCCCACAGAGGCATCACCGTCACCGCTGTTACAGTATGTTAGAGCTCACATCGCTACAGTAGGTAAGAGCTCCCGCCGCTATAAGGCTATTATTGAACTATCTACAGTTTTGGGTGATTTTAGGGTGGTTTAGGGATTTGAGATGGTGGCAGATGCGGTGGTGCTACAGTGTTGGTGCAGGTGGTGTTGAATATGGCGGTGGTGGTGAGGCGTTGGTTTTGGCTTTAATGGTGTTGGTGGTGAGATGGTAGTGGTGAAAGTTATTGGTGGGTTGCAAAATGGTGGCGGTGGTGGTTGTGATGATTTTTGTTGGCAGTATATTGGATCTAGTGGTGGTGGTGTTGTGGTGCTGTCATTGCGTCGTTTTTGGCGGTGGTACGTTTTGGTGGCGGTGGTGCGTTTCTTTGGTGTTGGTGGTTGCGGCGTTGGCTAATTTGTGTCCAACCATTTTATTATCTGTGACTTAAAAATTATATAATATGAAACCGTGAAAGAATCTGTGACTAACTAGTTTGGAAATCTGTGACTGTGTGACTTATAAATTTTAAAGGGTTATTGGCGCAAAACGTCCCTACCTATGACGGGTTGTGTGGAAAATGTCCCTACGTTTGATTTTTTGGTGACGGACGTCCCTACCTTTGCATTTTCTTGCGCAAAACGTCCTTCCGTTCAATACCCATTAGAATGCACCGTTAAATTTATTAAAAAATGATTTTTATTTTCCAAACAAAAGGGTAAAACGTCAGAACACCCCCTAACTTCCATCCCTTCACTTCTATTTCGCAAAAACAGAGGCCTTGGAAAGGAGACAGACGGACGTGGGTGTCTTTATATCACGCCTTACCCTCCTCTTTCGTTCACCGTATTTTCTTCTCCATTCATCGCCTCGTCATTCACGGCCCAAGATTTGTTGAATCCCTCAGTGAGAAGCGAGCGACTGTAAGAAATGAGTTTCCAAATTTTTGACAGTTCTTTTGGTTTTTGGCTTGATCGAACGTTTTCATTTAGTTTTCTAGTGTTTTATCACCATTTTGCAGATATATACTCGAAACACTTAGACTTGCATTCAACATGCGTCGGCCGATTTTTAGGGACCCCGGAGATGATCCACCAGTGTACGGTATGTTCTTCAATCTACCAATC